ACTACAAAGTCGCCAGTTCTCATCTTCCAGCTCCCCAGATACTCCGCGTACTAAAGTTGTACTACAACTTCGCCAGTTCTCAGCTTCCAGCTCCACAGATTGCTCCGTGTACTAAAGTTGTACTACAAAGTCGCCAGTTCTCATCTTCCAGCTCCCCAGATACTCCGCGTACTAAAGTTGCACTACAAAGTCGCCAGTTCTCATCTTCCAGCTCCGCAGATACTCCGCGTACTAAAGTTGTACTACAAAGTCGCCAGTTCTCAGCTTCCAGCTCCACAGATTGCTCCGCGTACTAAAGTTGTACTACAAAGTCGCCAGTTCTCATCTTCCAGCTTCCCAGATACTCCGCGTACTAAAGTTGTACTACAAAGTCGCCAGTTCTCATTTTCCAACTCCCCAGATACTCCGCGTACTAAAGTTGTACTACAAAGTCCAGTTCTCATCTTCCAGCTCGCCAGTTCTCATCTTCCAGCTCCCCAGAGACTCCGCGTGCTCAAGTTGTACTACAAAGTCGCCAGTTCTCAGCTTCCAGCTCCACAGATTGCTCCGCGTACTGAAGTAGAAAGTCGCCAGTGCCTGCATTTCGCGCACTCGACACGCACGATCTCCGCAGAGGGTTGCGCGGGCACCCGGCGAATCGCACTCTCGCCTGCATTTCGCGCACTCGACACGCACGATCTCCGCAGAGGGTTGCACTTTCGGTTGACGCTGTTCGTCCCACCCTCTGCCTTTAAGAGAGAATTTATAAAGTGGGGAAATGTTTTTTCATTAGGACATCTCCCGTGCTAGTTCACTTGCCTACTCATTGCATGCTTGCTTACTCATTGCATGCTTGCAGACTCATCACTTGCATACTTACACTTGCATACTTTGACAGCTTTCGCTCTTCCACTTACACAGGGCTACGTGTGTTTAAGTGTCAATGTCTAAGTGTGTCTAAGTGTAAGTGTCCAAGTGTCAGTGTTCAAAGGATTTTCCGGAAGAACCCTTCGCAATGCTTTCGGGAAAAAAGGTAAACACCATAGGTTTTCCCGGAGATTAGGTGCGTTATTTTTTCCTTCACTTGGGAGGCTCTTCCAAGAATTTCCACATAAGTTTAAGACTCCTCACACAAGGTGGTGGTCTGAACAACCCATGCAAAACCGGAGCCTGCATCTCCGAAGTTATTAAGGTACTTATTGCAGATGATTTTTGCCCCGCCCTCGTATCATTGGGAAAGGAGTTACTGTATCCGGGATCCGCCTTCTTTGAGAAGGACACGCCACAAGACCGGAGAGATGCTGCTGTTCCACACTTCGGGTATTTATAGCCTGCCACAAGGAAGTGAGTTGGGTGCCAGCTGTTTAAAGAAGGATCGTTCCCAACCATGGCTTTGCAGGGAAAATCGTGCCGTCATCGTGAGTTTGGCTTTGCTTTTGCATGGGAGGTCTCAGTTTTTGTATGAACGGGTCCCGAGTTTGACTCGTCTTGGCATGTTTTGGACCGAGACTTTGGTCAGCAGACTTCGTTTTGCCAGCATTCCCTCTATTGGCTCCCTGAGGTGTATACATGTGTGATCATTTGTGTTTTCGAGATACCGAGATACCATATCGACCACGCAGCCTAATCAACACCCCAACCAAAAGAATACCACTGGCTTCGGACTGAACGCCTTCGCAGGAGTACCAACCCCCTCCACAGTGTGCAGCACGCATTGGGGAGGCCAGCGTTGTGGGGGGCTGTGTTTTGAAGGCAAGCGGGTTCGTGGTATTTGAATGTTGTGACTGGCCACTGTTTGAGCCTTGATGGAAGAAATTCAGAGAATCACAGCTTGAATGTAAGAAAGCAAAAACACTGAATGGCGGGAACTGCCCATATGAGGTGCAGGATCTTCTTCCTTCAACACTGGGTGTCGTCCTTTAATCTCTGATTGAGGGGTCTTGTGGTTGCTCACCGAGACCATGTTTCCTGTCCAATGGTTGGCTAGGAAACTACCGCAGAATGTTCCCGAAGTCGTATATCAGTATATATTGTGTACATATATATCCGTGTATAACCATGTGTATACATAATATATATATAGCATAATAATTTTATATATATATGTGTCAGTCAATGTTTTAAGTTTGTTTTTACGAAAGCCAGCCTTCGTAGAAGGCGCCAGCTGAGTTGTGCTTGGCGAACGAAGTGAGTAGTTAGGGGGTCTGGGGGGGTGGCCCGCAAAAGGTACACGTAAACTCGGCAGGTTTTTTGAGGTTGTGTTGGAGGTGATTTTTGAGGGGTGGTGATGCAAGAAATGCAATTTGCATCATCTGAAGGGTAAGGTGTAGTTGGCACCTTGCCAGGTATAGATACCCAGGGTAGCTATAGTGCAGTTGCCAGGTATAGTACTTCAAGTTCCCTTTCCACCAACTGTAAAGGTTATCGAGCGGTTGACGGAAAGGGAACTGGAAGTACTATACCTGGCAACTGAATTGTAGCTATCCTGGGTATCTATACCTGGCAAGGCGCCAGCTGAGTAAGAAGGGGGGTTCGGGTTGGTGGCCTGAGAAAGCACACTCGAAAGTAGGTGGTGTGTAGGGGTGCACGGAAGCAAGGTTTTGGAGGTGCAAGAAATGCAATTGTCTTCGGTTGCTTGCAGTGCTAACTGAATTGTAGCTACCCTGGGTATACCTGGCAACTGCCATGTAGCTGCCCTGGGTCCGCGCACGCGCGCGCCTAAATCACGGGCAGCCGGGAGCCAGCAAGGCGCGCGCGCGGACCCAGGGTAGGGAAATTGAAGTGGGATACCTGGCAACAGAATTGTAGCTACCCTGGGTCCGTTTAAAGGCTATGTTGCTATACCTCTTACACACCTATATAAGTTCAATGCAAGAATGAGACTTCAAAGCTGTGGATTGCTGTGCGTGTGTAAAGGTTATCGAGCGGTTGACGGAAAGGGAACTTGAAGTACTCTACTATACCTGGTAACTGAATTGTAACTACCCTGGGTATCTATACCTGCGCCAGCTGAGTAAGAAGGGGGGTTCGGCAGAGTGCCTTGAGAAAGCACACTCGAAAGTAAAAACGCTGGCTTTCGGTTTGCTGCTTCTCAGGTGTATGCGTGTGTGTGCGTGTGATGTAATATTTTTCTTGGTTTCCAAACATGTATTTCTGTATGTCAAGGTGGACAGTCCAGGCTAGGAACCCAACAGCTTGACAGAGCTAGCTTTACCTGCTCGATGGACTCTACCAGTTGGGGCATTATGCATAACTCTTCCCCTGGTCCGGGCATGATCAGGGGACGGAACTGTGGATGTTCTATTTTCTCTTGACCTGCAATGGCATTGAACCAGAGCTTATATGCCTCCCAGTCCGCATTTAGATAAGCCCCTGGAAACAATTATGACTACTTGTAGTGGAAACTGCCAATTAGACATGAACCCACTCGTCCGGGACCCAGGTTTCCGCGACGCGGGTCTCCGCCCCAATACACCCCGTCGCGGTGGCGTCTGACATCCCAGCGACGCGAGCGACGCTGTTCACCCGTCACTTGAGCGATACCAGGAAGCGATGCCAGCTCGCCCATCACAGGCCTCACCGAGGTGGGGCCCGGATTGGAAGCGAAACCCGCCAAGCCATTTGTGTGGCGGAAAGGGAAGAAAGGGATCCAGGGACCACCAGAGAGACCCCATGGGTTTGAGGAAAGATGGAGTAAAAACATTCCTTCGGGGGGTATCCCTGTTCCGCACCCAAATGATTCATTATTAACTTCATTGAGTTAGAGGGATTTGCATGGCTGAAAGGCAAGGCCGAGCAGGGTTGCGTGACTTTCTTCCAGTGAACAACGAGTGGTTAATGCCAGTTCATTGGACGGGACAACCTTTGTCATTGTTCGTGAAACTGTTATTTTTGGTGGCTAACTATATAAGTTGTCACAGTTCCAAGTTGCAAGCCTCCCTGGGGCGGCTATTGGTGTTTGTAGAGTTGTTTCTCTTCCCCTTGGAAGACGTCGAACGATTTGTTGACTTCATGACTTGGACGTCGCGCTTCGATGTCGTGCCCAGGGCGAAGAATCACAGGAGACGACGATGGGTCACGACGCAGCAACGCACGCACAGTGTGGTGATCCAAGTGTTCGGGCTCCATCTCCCAAAGCCTCCGAAAAATGTCTCCGTAGATGTGTAAGTGCGCAGCATTATTCGAAGAAGTGTTGCCACTCCACTCCGCTAGAATGTTTGAGCTTAATTAGACAGCTTTTGCTTGGGTCCATTGTTCATCTACCCCCCCAAGAATCAGTGGTAACAGGACTGATGTTGGCACCTGAGAATTGAATGGAAGCAAGAGAAGGCCATATTCTGGCGCATGTGAGACTTTTCGAGTTCAGAGATTGAAACATATGGCCGTGGTTCAAAACCGGGATCCGCAGGATCCTGTTTTGTCCCACCGAACATGAACAGAATAGATGACAAGTGACGAGACTAGACTCGACCTACCAGGGTGCACTCATCCACACCCATCTTCTGACTGGTGCGATGAAAGCAGGGAATGAGGCTTGGAAACAGGTAGAGTTCAATTCAACGGGCTTATCTCTGATGCCTTTCGTTGGGGTTTTCCACCGCGGAGTGCTCGTGGAGATGCTTCCTTGGCCATGGGACCATGGGAGGTTTTTACGGTTTTGGGGGGTCGACGGCCTGTTGTTTGGGGTCGATGGTAGGTGAAATCCAGCTTTGAATTTGGAAGAATTCTGGTACTCACAGATCGGCCTCCTCCCAAGTCCCCCAAACGAGTTTACAAGGATCACACGGATCCTAGTTTTGTCTGCAGCTACCCAGAGCCAATGGATTCTCTTCAGATTCTTTTGATCACCTTCCTTGCGTCCGGTCTTTTTCAGAGAGCCCAGTTCGTGGCAGGACGGTGATTTCGTGATGACAGAGCTGGAACTGCCTCCACCTGCCACTTTTTCCAATCGGGATGGGTCGTTCAGGACCCACCAGTCCGGTCCGAAATCGAAGCGGCGCTAGCAGGTGAAACGTGAGAGGATAGGAATGGGACGTCTGTCAGAGTTTGCACTTATTACTTATTACAAAAATATGTTTGCACTATAGAACTGGTTGTAGTCTCGTAGATTAATGGATGTGTGTGATAGCCTTATGATTAGCTGTGATAGCATTGGAAGCCCCTTCGAACAAAATAGACGCCCTGCACCTGCAGCTGTGTTTGTTTTGAACTACGGTCAGTTCCCGCCGCGGTCATGGAGTTGAAAGGTTATCTTTCGGCTGGAAAGGCTTTCCAGGTAGGAGGCCAAGCATTGGGGCTATGCAAGGCCTCAGAGTTGAGAAGCCAGGAAGCGCAGAATAATTGGCGTCATGACCATATTCCTGGCAATGGTGGTCCAGAAAGATAAGTATGGGCAACACCGTTTATGATATGTTCAAACGGTCCCCTTCCCTGACATGTCCATCAATTTTATGATTGCATGGCGGCATGTGTTCTCACATGTGCTTTGCACTTTGCAGGGAGCCTTACCAATCATGGTCTCAAGACCAACGTGCCCACATTTCCAAGCAAGGCCACGAAAGCCTGGTCGCCATGGTTCAACAACTAGAATTTGCTCGGGCAGAGGACTGAACGCCTTATAGATGTTTTCACAGTGTCGTAGTATGTTGCAGTGGTGTGGGGTTCTGCATGATGTATGATGATCTATGCATGTTGCAGCATTCCCTTCCCCAAGAATCTGTCGCAAAATCAGGTGATTCCCATCGACGAGAAGGAGAAGAGCGATGAATGGGATGCACAATCCAGTGCTTTAGCTGACTTCAGGCATTGACGTTGGACTCTCTATCTCACGGAGCGACCCATTTAGCGACCCCAACGGGCCTTCCCAGGAACAACGGGGGAAGCCACAAATTCGAGACGTGCGTGGCGAAGGCGACCCGCTTCGGGTGGATTCTCGAGGTGAACCCCCGAGTGGGGTCCAACCCAACCACACTCCCACCCACTCACGTTTCGTGGATGGCACCGCCCCCTCTTTGGTTTTCGTTTGACCCATTGTTTGACCTTTTGGGACCATGCTATGTTTATACAATTTTATACAAACTATTACAAACTTATATATATATATTATACATGTTTTAATCTATATTGTTCAGATCAGCATCCGACCGTTTCTGGTCAACCGCCGGGAGCGTCTCAGTGAGTTGCCCGTTGCCATGCGAAGGCCAGCAGGGTGAGTGTCTCTTAAGAGGTATATTGCCAGGTATCTGATACCTGGCAATAAACCTCTGAAGAGACACTCAGGTATCTGATGACTAAGTACATATACACTGAAATCATCATGGGGCCCGTGGATGGCATGGCCATGCATGGCCCCCTTGGATTACAATGTTTTAGAATTCCAAAACTAGGTGGTTTCTCCACGAAGCGATGATTCTTTCAGGGAGGCTCACGATGCTTTTTGCTGAAGACCAGGTGTAGGGCCACGGGTAGACTGGACTGCAAAAGTGGTGAAGGCGAGTGGTCAGCAGGGTCGGTCGAATCGGATGCCCATGGCTAGTTCACCATCATGCAGGAACTTGGTCACCAGTCACCAGCCGTTGCAGTCCAATTTCGATTGAGACGAAACACTGTGGAGTGATGGGTTTTGACAGGTTGGTGAGTATGAGCGACTTGTTACGCTTTGATGTAGACTCTTGATGAATAAAAAAACCTGATTCAGGTTTTACAATTCCAAATGGGCGGGAGCTTATTAAACAAGAGTAACTGGTGTTTGATGTGAAAGCACTCATCCCAGGAGTTCCAAGTGCCTTGGTTGGCCTAGACTCACATCCACTCACTGGATGGGACTGATAAATACCACGGTCGCTTCGCTTAGGCGATGCCTGGTCAATCCAAGCACGTCTTCCACAACTGCGGGTGCGCACCTTCTGCCGCTGGGGTAGCAGATTGGAAGTTGGAGTTCTGATGGTTTGACGGGTGGATGCTCTCCACTGCATCCGTTTGTGAGAGGGACTTGATTAGCTTGCTTGCTTGCTTGCTTGCTTGCTATCAATTGGAGTTTGTCCAACCATTCCAGCAGCAAATGCAACTACCATCTAGATCATCTAGCTGATGGCGTGGCTTGAATATGCTTCAATGGCATATCTTTGGCCCCATGAACCGCAGGGGTTGAGGCCTTCTACCCGACTCTACTGCTTGATCTCCAAACAGTTTCAAACCATGGAGGCAGCTCCTAAGTCTTCCAGGAAGAGACTGATCAAGCCTTCCAGAAGGAAAACACATCATGATCAGACAGGTCCAGGTTTGTTGAGAACAGGTCATGAGTCCAGGTCCAGGTATGATCCAAACAGGTCCAAGTTCGTCCCTTGGGAATTTCACTTCGTGACTTGGGCGAAGTCTTTGCGGCTTGTAGACGACGAGACCTCTGCCGCGACCTTTGCAGACCTTCAACTCGAACTAGCTGTTCAAAGGTACTTGGATAGGGGTTATATATAGAGTTTGGTGGGGTCAAACTCAGTCTCAGTACCTTCTGAGGATGTAGTTGAGGGCATAGACCTCAACAGTTTGATTGTCCCGATAGCTGCACAGCCCAGGTTCGTCGCCTCTCCAGTCGCCTCCGACACTTGGTGTTGGTGTTTTATATTTCTGTGAAAGGGACGCGAAGGCCGACATAGTCTTTGAGGGCACAGGATCCAAACAGCATGTTCTACTGGAATGTAATGAACGATGGACCCAGGACCCATGAACTTTGCCCACTGTGTCAGTGTGGTCCCACTTTTCCTGGGTAGGAGTAGGAGGGGATGATTAAACCAATGATGACATACTAGCTGAGCTGCTAGGCCGTTGCCACCCGAATCATCGGGATGCAGAGACAGAGGGCCACAGCGAAAAACAGAGGCTCCGGAAGTCTTTGGATTGAGAAAGTGTATGAACATGATGGAGCATGTGATGCCAACAGTTTTCCATCCAAGCGCCCTTTTGACTGACCTGGGCACTTTAAGGGAAGAATGTTCACCAACAGTTTGGTCTCAAGTAGAGTTTGGGGTGTGTTACTGTTTGAAGGTCTCAGGCCCTGAGTACGCGCAACCCTCCATCATCCTTGTACTTGTACAACCCACAGTTCCCTCCGCTGCTTGTGGGACTTGATGCCCAGCTCCACAAGAGAGAGAATCCAAATGACCCTAAACATCCAACCACCTCCTCGGTTGAAGGTAGAAACAGGCTTCCTTGGGAGGCACCTCACCTTGGAACCACTGCTTTCCGCTCAGGCTCTCCCCGATCTCTCCTGACGGGAGCCGGCTGGCGCCGCGGCGGCGGTCGAAGGCTCACCGGGATGCGGCGGCGGCGTTGATGTTGACGCTTGCTAAAAATGGAGGGAACCTCCCAGCTTTACCTGGTTTACAGCAGTAGGAATTCTGACCCAATAACAAAGATCGTCCGGTGCCTTTGGCCGTTGCTCGCCTGGACCCTGTTGTAGTTGGATTTGCGCCCGACAGGTCTTGTTCTTGGAGGAAGACTCAAGTTGACTGGGGTGATATAACTGTCATGATGCACTACACCCCAACTCAAGATTTAATGTCAAGTGAATCCTGGTGGCCACAGGTGACTGTGCAACCCCAAACATGTTTAGGTCTCATCCTGTTCCAAGTCTGTGCTTCTATCTATTAACAGTCGTTTGGATAACTCATATATGATGTTGTTTATCATGTCTTGGTGTCCAAGACATGTTCGTTTGAGGGATGCATGCAGCACTTCAAAAAGGCGATCTTGGGGTCACAAGAAGATGGATATATGGTAGTCGATCGAAAGGTCGACATAAGGCCTATGCCACTGAGAGCCTCTTCAAGTTGTCCGCGAAAGTTTTTTCTCGAGTTCGCGAAAGTATTTGTTTTTTTGGCGAAAGATCTGCGAAAGAGTCTATTATACTATATGGTATACATGCAGTTTTTAGGCTTGAAGCCATGCCCTCCTCCTCCTGCTGCTGCAGCTGCTGCTGCTGCTGCTGTTCCTGCTACTGCCACTACCACTACGACTACCACTTCTTACTACTCCTCCTCGTGCTGCTGCCACTGGTTGTTACGCTGTGCGCCTAGAAACCCACCAATGACGCCACAATTTTTGGCGAAAGATTCGCGAAAGTTCCGCGAAAGCATAGGCGAATGTGAAGGTTTGTTTTGTGGACCCCTGCCCAAGCCAAGCAGCGACAGACCTAGCAAGACATGAGCGCAACACCGTTGATAGCTCTTCCAGCTCATCCTCCACCAGTTCTGCTGATTCATCCAATGGTGGTGATTGAGAGTTCTCGCCAATCTGCCTTGTGCCGCAACCTCGTCTGCAGATCCAAAATGGTGCTTGATGGAAGTGCTTAGGCTGCTATGTAGAACCACTATGATTTCTTGAGGGTATACCCCCCGCGAAAGTTAAACATGGAGTTCGCGAAAGATTCGCGAAAGCAAATATTGTTTTGCGAAGAATGGCCTGCCAGCAAGAAGGAATTTTGATCAACCACCATATGACAACCCATGAAGATCCACAAGGTACCCAAAAAGGTGTGACACAGCAACTTGTGTATCAACAGTCTGACAGTCTCAGAATTCCTGCGATCAACTCGGGCAAGTGGCTTGACTGAATACGCGACCACCCTACAAATCCAGCCTGCTGTGCTTGTCCTAGTCTCACCAGGCTGATGAGAGCACGGCGTCTCTTGGCTGGGGAGGCTGCGGGGGCTGGGATGGGCATCTCAGAATTGCTTGGTGTTTACAAGCGAAAACAGCAAGACGACCAGAGGCGCTCCACATCACCTTCTCCTTTTTGGAAATATGGGAAAACCTCGAGGATGCTGAAGAGTTTCTTGAAGCCCTGGGGCTAGACTACCGTAAAACCACGTACTTTTAAGGGAAGACATTTGAAAGGGGCCTGACATCTATATTTCCAGGATTTGGTTGTCCCAAGCGCTGCAGGATTCTTCCTTCCATGAGTACAGAAGGTCCAGGGTGGGGATTCTTGGTCTATCAATCATGGTACATGGCGGCTTACATGCCAAACACTCCTAATCCACAGCTTGGGAGGTGTTCACCACACTGCCACAGTGTAGAATATACATGCACACGGCCAAAAAAGGCCACAGTACCTTGCCACGTCGATCATTCACGGTCCCAATCACCAAAAGTCCATGGGGCTGGAATAGCTTGCCTATATGGATGGGTGGTTTTGAGATGTTGTTTTGAGGGTCAATATGGATAAATGAATAACATTAGATATTCCCAGTCCCATAGATGCTCACGAAAACTGCACACCTCTTTCAGTTCGAAGGCCACGGAACCCGTCGCACTTGTTCTCTTGGACCTCCACTCGCTTTGCGACCGAAACCGAGGACCGCCACGCGTGCGCAACTCCGTGAGGGCGCCACTGGGGTGGAGGCGCGGCTGACGGGCTCCTGGTCTATCTCTGTTTTCGGTCCAGGGTGGTCCTGGTGCCAGCAGGGGGGAGCGTTGGTTCTAGCTTCAGGACTATAAGTATAAGGAATGATTGAGTGTTCTTTCTGCATCTTTCTGCGCTGGGCTGGGCTTTTTGAGCCTCTCGAAAGTGAGCCTTCTCATTCCCGATGTAATTAGTTTCTCCACCATCTGTGCCTTTGGCAGGATGTGCTGAACCGTGTCCGATATGATCTTTTGGAGCCTTGGACGTTCATTAAATGGATGTCAGGACACAGCCTGGTGTTACAGTCGGACAAACCAGGGCTTCGCCATGGGGGCTTGGAAGATAATGTGGACTCTTGATTCATAAACTTAACCACACACCCCATTTGGATTGAAATACCTCTTCGTATGGGGGGTGATCAATCAAGAGTCTACATTACCTGTGTGTTCGAGGTCACAAGAGATTTAGTTTCTTGATTATATGCCGCTCATTTTGATGTAACAAGAGTAGATCAGAACTCCTTACAGTAGTAGCTAAAACAAATTGGTCCATACCTCAGAACAACACGGGTTCTTCTTCGTACCAGACCGTTCTTCTGTGTGGCCACCGTTTCAAACGTGACATTCCAGTGAGTTCAAAGCTTCTCACCGTAACACCGACGATCCGCTGAACGATCAGCTTATATATCCCAGACACTCCATGGGACTGCCATATATGCCGATCAGTTGGGTGGGTTTGGGGGGTCAATGTAGGCATATATGGCAGTCCCATGGAGTGTCTGGGTATCACTGTAGCTTCGTTCGCAGCAGCCGGCTTCCGGCTTCCGAAAGAGGACCTTCTCGTCTCATTCCACCCCGAGGAATCGTCGGTGGCCGCCTTCCAAGTCTTGGTGGACAACGTGCCGAGACCCGACGCGCGAGCGCACGGACCCGGGACTGGCCGGGAGCCGACATGATTCGGCCATGGTCGACACGACCCGGTTTCATCCCGGACTGGGCCAAGTAAATGGTCACTTACGGCGTTTTGGGGGTGTTCAACAAACATGTGCAATAGGCAAGTGCCAAGTCATGTAAAAATAAACAATGTTGACCTAAAACTGGACATAGGTGCCCGTTTGACGCCTGAAAGAGGGACTTCGACCCATGCCCTCCCGTTCGACGGTCGAAACGGCGACGGTGACATGCTTGCACCGACAGTCGTCCGACCGGGGTGTGAGGGCGTCAGATGTTGGTTAAAGGAATAGACTCTATATACTGTGTTACCCTGTAGATCGTAAATAGAAAGGACAATGACAAAGCTGTCATTTGAACAAATCTATACTAAGCTAGATATGTCTAGATTGTAGAAAGACTCTTTTACTCTAAGCTGGGCTGAACAATCCTTAACTACACATGGATTGATTGATTAGCTTGTCATGTACACGGTGTATTGTGGAAGTAGTATAAGTAGTATAAGTCCATGACCGGTCATGGATGGAAGTCTCCCCTCCATGAAGCAGAAACTGATCCTTGCAGGACATCACCGGTCCGGTTATATAACCTACAAAACTTCTGTGATACAAAACTGAAGTGATCAACTTGTTTGTAGATCACCTTATGTGAAAGTGATCAACTTGTTAACCTACTTGGTGAACCTTCTGTGATTATGATCAACTTAGTGATCAACTTGTTTGTAGAAAGTTACCAAGTATACACAGTATTCAATCGAAACATCCCTAGCCGGTGTCTAGTTGAGCGCCGACCACGGACAAAATGGTGCCAATATAGATACTAGACCCCCCGGAAAAGACAATTTCTTAAAGAACAGATATCCCCTTAATGGGGGTCAAAAGAAAACAGGCATTCTGTCGTCGACTCAATGTTCCGTCTCGTCTCCGTTCTGTCGTTGGTCGTTCGACCGTCGATGAACTCTTGGGAGTCAAGAACCCAGTGGAACAAGGCACTTGTAAGCACTGGAAACTTCAGCTTGGACTGCCAACGAATGGAAGAAAACTGGAAAAATCAAGGAGTTCCAGTTTTGAGAACTGGTGGTTTTCAAATCCATCCAGTGAGGACTTTCACATCATCCATTGAGCATCCTCCGATGACTTGCTCGGGTGGATGACCGTTTTCTCCAGGTGGAACGGCCCGACCTCTGTCGGCCGCACCTGCTGCGGGGCGAATGCAGGCGAGTATACGAGCACGTGGTGCGAATACGTGTGCGCACGGGTGGATCGAAAGACTCTGGATCAAGTCTGATGTGTGTGT